AAAAAAAAAAAAAAAGAAGAAATCCACCAGACGATCAAAATAATCTCCCGGCGTCGTTTTGTAATTGGTACCAATACCAGCACACGAAAATGATATCTACGTGTAAATATTAGGACAAGTATCACATTCGCAATTATTTAAATCTTTCCGTTTGTGTTCTTACAGATTAGTTCTTATCCTCAACTTTCCTGAACAGATTAGAATTCTAAAGGAACGAATTTTCCCAAAACAAAGAAAAAAAAACAGTAGAATTCCAATTCGCCAATTGATTTTATCCCTCAATGTGTCCCCTAAGATAAAATGTTATTACTACGGAAGTAGAGAAACAATGAGGAAATCAGAGAGAAAATTGGAAGTTTAATGAGGAAGAAGATCGAAGAATTGCACACCAGGTAAATACGTAAGAAGGATTTGATTCTTGTATTAACACCTCGTACAGACGAAAGGATCTCGGCGTGCATTGCAAGGCCATTGACCGAAGGGATCCCCGATCGATGATCGGCTACCTGCTGATACATTGTTGCCTGTACAATAGCGAAAGTATTGTTAGTCCGGTGGGAACCCTCCAGCGTCAAGTGCAATTATTCCGTGTAACCGAGTGCACTTTATTCCTACTGTTCAAGACCTGCTTTGCCTTGTGGCATGGCCATTCATTGCAGCTACCGGGTGCAACGCCCCATTCATCAGTGGCACTTGCTTCTACGCGTAATTCCATGGTACCCATTTTTTTTTCCTTTTTCTCTCTCTCTCTCTCTCTCTCTCTGTGACACACGAGTGCTGCTACAACAAAATAAGAAATAAAAAAGGGAAGAAAAATTGTAAAAGAGCAATTTTGCAATTTATCAGTGAAATTAATCATTTTTCAATTCACTATGGAGGGGACGATTTTGAATTTAATAATTGAAACACTTGGTACCTTTAATTTGATTTGATATTAGATAACAGATATTATAAATCAGACGTGTGTTTGATGTGATGTAATCACAGTTGAACATTTTCCATCGAGGCAAAATTTTCAGGACGGTCTCTTCGAGGGAAGTCGGGAGAGCGAGAAGCGTATGTGAAGAGAAAACAGGTTCTTCAAGGGGATTGAGAAGTCGCTTGCATCTTGCATCCACCTTTTCAACCTAGACCCATGTAAGGCTCCCTGCTTTAGGTAGGAAACCTATACCTACATGGTTTTCCCTGCGCATGGTTTTTCCACACGTGTACGTTTATTTTATTTGCGGTGTGTATTGTTATAAATTATTTATTCATATTAGTGCATTCAAACTTTCCTGTATTTTCCAGGAGGAATGGAGGAACATGGCCGTGGTAATATTTCTAGAACGATCGCGACAAAATACGCAAGAATACGCAACGGAATCAAGAATTCCATACTATCTGTAGATAAGCAAACAGTTGGTATCCCTCTATCATTGCTTTGCTCACGATAGATAATGTGCAACGTTGCTATAGCTATCACTAATAGGTTCTCTTCCTCCCTCTGTCTGAGAGTCACTAACTCTCTCTTTTAATGGCTTCTTGGGAACGCGAGCAACAGCCCGAGTAGAAGCTTTTCGCTCGTCTTACGTGGACGTTTTTTTAGTGAAAATCCAGCCGCCCTGAGACAAGAGGGAGCAAGCTGCTGCTAAATCTGGAGTCCCTGGCTGGGGTGTTTTATTAAGCGGAACCGCAACACCTCTGAAAAGTCTCATGCACAAATCGGACTCTGTTAATATCTACTTAGCTGAATATTAAAAAAGAAAAAAAAAAAAGAAAGAAGACTTAAAAACTGTACAACAAACTGCAATTCTCAAGTTTGTATATCGTCGATTGTCCAAATCTAGGAAATTATAATTATAATAACAGCAATCTTCCATTTACATTAATACTCACTCGTCGAGCGAGAATAATTAACGATATAATTGACAAAAAAATATTTGAAACAGCATCGTTTCTAACTATATTCTCTATTTCCAGGTATTGAAAGTTAAATGAACATTGCAGTTTTTCAACGTGTCTCGACTCACAGTCAGTGAAAGATCAGTTTCACAACTGAGAAATTGGAAACAGTGTAACAAGTCGAGGTCGGCGTCGAATGTGGAATATTTTCAATGGCGCGACAGCATACGAGGAGGGTTCACCTTGTAGGCAGCTTCGCATTCCGCGTCTTTCCCTTCGCCTCTTCCTTTGTTTCGTCCACATGGTGCATTCACACACTCACACAGTGACATTCTATCAATGTCGTGTGGAACTATGCATACGTGCAGGCAAGCACGCAGGGAAACGATTTTCTTTTATCACGTTTTTATCGTCTTTCCGCGTCTTCTTTCGCTGTACGAACTGACCGAGAGAGATAAAGTGGGAATCGAGCCGCATATTTTCGGCCTCCGCTTCTTAATGCGCTACTTTGCGAGGCACGGTAAACAGGAAACGACGTCCACGTGCGTCTATGCGCGAGAGAAAGGGCGGAAGAGAGAACCGGCAACCTTTTTTAGCCATGTCTCGCTCGGCTCTCCCTATTTTATTCCTTATTTGTGATCGTTCTTCGTATGAACTTTCGTTTCCAGCGGATCTCAAGGTTGCAAAGTTTGCAAAGGATTGGACAAGCGAATGAGAGAATGAACGGAGGAGGAAATGAGTTACGATGAAGGAAAACGCTCGTTTGATTTGCGTGGCCATGTGGAAGATACAAGGGTCATGGGAAAAGTTTCGGAGGATTTATAAGAGGACGCAGGCGCAATCAGCGGTCGCATGGAAGCCAGGGCGTGGTGGCAATTTTATACAGACACGCAGGTCTCCTCCTCGTAGCACGTAAGTCCTGCAGCGATTACTGATTTATATTGGCATTTAACCAAAATTCTGTTTCTACAATTCTGAAGTTGAATTCGTATGATACGACATTGCATCGTATCAATGAAATATTTACCCTTTTCTAAGATCACCGACATCCGCATTTCACTGCCGATTAATGTGAAACAATTTTACAGCCGAGCAGGGTAGCAAGAATTTGTTCAGAAGCGGAGGATGACGGAGGGAGATTGTAGAATAAAAATTTCAAAGAAATAAAGAAGTTGAACCGTTGCTCGGGGAACTTGCGGGAAAAAGGGAATTTAATGGCCATCGCTGGCGTTGATACGCGGGCAAAAGACGTGGGTGTACACACACGCACACACACACACACACACACACACACGTGTGCAAGCATGCACCAGCTGCATATGTATGCGTCGTACCCCGCAGGATATTGGCCTAGACGCAGTGTGATTGGCCGATCATGCAACCAGGGACGACGATGCCTCTGCAAGTCTCCTTATGTGTGCTATTCAGTGGCGTAACTCTGCCATATGTTCCATTTTTTAGCTTTTTTAAGCCGAATTCACGTGTAGCACATATAATACATACGACGGAAATTCGATATATACCTTAGAAAGTATCGGAAGAAAGTAAGCAAATCGTTAGTCAGTAGCGATCTATCATAGTTTAAAATTACATTTGTACTGTGTATATACATATATATCTTAATTACACAATTTCGCCCATTTGTGAAAGCAATTCGTCTATAACGAGCAGATAATGACTAGCGATTGGCTAGTGAGTGACATTCATTACTGCAACAACTACGAGCTTACTGAGAAAAATTCTGGATTTTTTTAGAAACTACAAAAAATTGCCGAAATGCAAAATTTCCAAGAGTTTTGTCAAACTTTTCGGCCAGCCCCTCGGCATCGATCATCAACTGTGCTGCAAGCTCGTACAGGCGTTTGAAGGCAGTGTAAGTCATTAAACGAGCAAGGTCGTTTCGTTAATAGCACGATGCCCACGGCATACCGTGTCATTTGTTGCTAACATGTTTCATTCATTAGTAAGACGTCGTTTCGAGTGAGCCCGAACTACTGGAATATTTCGCATAAAGGGCCGCCGGTTACGCCATTGGGCACACGCACACAGCAACGATAGACGAGGCACGAACGCACACGCACGCCAACCCTATGCGAAGAGAGCCATGACCAGCTCGGGGCCTAGTGCGTCTTCCACGCACGGCTCGTCAGTGGTCGCCGAGTAGGCCGTGGGAGAGGGTTTCTATGCGTGCTGTAACCTCGGTTTTGCTACGGGTATGCACTCGTATCGTATCGTATCGTATCGACTAGCGGGATCATCATTGCTTCCGAAGATGCAGCCGCTGCGTTTAAAACTCGAGGGCTACCAATGACACGATCGCGTGACAACGAAGCTTCGATGAAGATACATAATCGAATATCGAATAATAAGGGTCTTAAGGGCGACGAGGACGAACTTTGGACAACAATAAAAGATAAGATTAAGTAACCCGGAGGAGTAACAGTATTTAGGCACAACTTTCTGCTTGTGAATTTTACTTTTTGTGAATGAGATCGCACGCCGTTTGTTGTTCGTAAAAGAACGAGAGTTTATGACTGGTGCGGATCGAAGAGATGTGAAGAGATTTGTTTTGGTCGGACGATCCTGCACGGTACACGCACGCACACACACACACATACACGCGCCCCCGCGCGCTATGTGCAGTCACTAGGGGTTGGACTGTTCGCGCAACGTTTTCGTAGCCTGGCCTCCACACGGGATCGAAACTACTAAATGCTAACTTAATTGTACGTCTCCTAACGTACTACTCGGCGGCCATTTGAACAGCTTTGCCACAAGGCGTCAGTATTCTGGAAATGTAAGTCTTGGAAATGCAATACTGCGTCTCATACACGTCCGACGTACTATTAATTCTTGTCACGTCTACGTGCATAGGTTTATCTATATAGATTGACAGTATTCGTTATCAATTATAGTCAGATTTACTGTCAACAAGAGCGAACAGTATTTGTAATATTTTACGTTTTTTTTTTTTTCAATCTTATTTTACCTTCGATTTGCCAGTTTCTTGAAATTCGTTGAAGCTTAATTTATTATCGCTGCAGAGATCAAGAATTGTACGAATACATGCTGCAGGACAATAAGTCCCGCACATGCGTGGCATCCAATTGTTAAATGAGGGTGGTTTCACACGCGTGACTCATGCCTCATAAAATATTATGCCCCTCCGAGTTTAATATCCAATGGACGGTTTAACCGTCCGAAGAGTTGCTTCCTAAAATATTCTCACATATGAATTTTGCCAATCGTGATTCCTTTCCCCTCGGTGTGAAATTTCAAATTAGTCGGATGCTGGATTTCCAATAATAATAATAATAGTAATAAGTAAGCGATTAATTAATGCCAGCCTAATTGTCTGCAATTTTTTTTCTTTCAGAAAGCCCGCTTACTGATCGAGGTAGCCGAGATGGCGAGCACGTCGCAGCAGTACTGTCTACGCTGGAATAATCACCGCTCGAATCTGTTGACGGTGTTCGACGAGCTACTGCAAAACGAGGCATTCACCGACGTGACTCTGGCAGTTGACGGTGGCGTCTCCGTCAAATGTCACAAGATGGTCTTGGCGGCGTGTTCCTCCTACTTTCAAAGTTTGTTCCTCGACTTGCCGTGCAAGCATCCTATCGTCGTGCTGAAGGACGTTAAATATTCGGAGATCAAAGCAATCCTGGAGTACATGTACCGCGGCGAGGTGAATGTGGCCCAGGAGCAATTGGCCGGCTTGTTGAAGATCGCCGAGGTACTGAAGGTGAAGGGGCTTGTTGAGGAAAATGGGTCCCAAGGCCGTCGTGAAGAAATCGAAACCTCCATGTCTCCTCCGCCAGCTATCAGCACCAGTACAACCGGCAGTGCAGTTCATAGCAGTGATCACGCGTCCCCTCCGCATTCCACGGGAACTACGTACGACATCTACGGCAAATCGCCAGTCGACAGAAGTAGCCGTTTACCGCTACCAATGTGGTCTCTACCGGGGATTCCCATGACTCATTCCAGCACCGGTCACCAGACGGCGACGCATCAACATTCTTCTATGTTGACTGGCTCGTCGCCCATTTTAACCGGCTTCGAGACCTCACCGTTGAAGCACAAGAAACTCTCGAATATGTTGATGAACAGAGACACGCCGATTCTGAGGACTGTACTGGGTCAAGGTCACGCGGATAGCTCCCAAGGGATCCCCCTGTTGCACCCGGATAGCCACGAGAATCAATTTAGAAATAGCAGTAATGGCTCGTCGAACGAGAACGATAGACGGGCTAGTATGGATCTAGTTCACGGGGAACCTGCGCATAGCCCTTACACTGACGTGTCCATGATGGACGAAGATGATAAGCAATCGTCGCCGCAGTCGTACCCTGCGGATATTAAACCAGGTAAAGGATGAGTAACTGACGCAGAGACTCTAAAAGAATCTAAAGAGAATCTAAAAGAGAATCTTTTTCAAAAAAAATTCGCGACTGTTTATTGTTAATTTCATTATATCATTCACGTTATATAGTTGCAATATTAATATAATTCTATATTTGTTATATAGTTAATTTCATGTCATTTATAATATTTCATACCTATATATTAGTTGTACAAGATATCTCAGGATTTAATAACCAAACTTTATTATTAGCAGATTTATATAACATTGAATTACCCATAACAGACTATACTGACGATGTTTTATACTGTTTCAAACGTTGAGAAACGCCATGTACATTAGCATTGCACAACGAAACATTACGGCAGTAATGGATTTTTTGCCGCAGGGATGGTTAACTACGTACCAGCGCAAAAGCCGGAGTGGAAACGATACAAGCAATACACGAGGCACGATATAATGTCCGCGATCGAGGCGGTACGTTCAGGAATGAGTGCCCTCCAAGCGGCACGTAAGTACGGAGTGCCCTCTCGAACTCTTTACGACAAGGTAAGGAAATTAGGAATCACGACGTCGCGACCATTTAAACGCGGATCGAACGGCAGTGGCGCCTGTTTCCCGTACGGGATCGGTGGTAACGCGAACGGTAACATCTACAGTGGCGCCCTCTCTGAAAACGAGAACGAAAGTGGCAATGTGATCGAGGGTCCTGGGTCTACCCTCGACACGTGTAAATCGAGAGACGCTCCTGCAGATAGGGAAATCGCAGACGTTAACCGCTGTACGTCCAGTCCTATGGTTCATTCCGTGAAACAGCCGAGCAACGAGGATCAAGTCGAGGATCTTTCTGTGAGTCGTAAGTCGGACGTTCGCGTGATAGTTCCGCCAACGTCAGTGATTAAGAACGAGGAGGATATTGGCTCTGACTCTTGCAGTCACAATTAACCTAAGCTAACTGCTTTATCGCTCACGATTCAGTCAGAATATTGCCACCTCTGACAGAAACTAAACGTACTATAGAAATTCGCATCGTTGCATGGAGAAGTTTGTAAAGTTTTTTTTTATTAGATAATTTAAGAGAGCATCGATTTAGGAGAGATTGTACGTAAGCGTCAGACGGTGTCTCTGATTTTCGTTGGACGAATTTTCTCAAATTATCCTCGGCGGACGGCGATGATTCTTCGGTTCGCGACAGACCATACTTCTAGAGGCAGGCTTTTAATACTTCAGAACAGGATGATAAGGATGAGAAACGCAACCAAACGGAAGCCAATTAAGTAAGTTTAACGTTTAACAAATGACTCAGGGATCAATAGCGGAGTAATATGTATCGCCGCAATAATAAGTCATAGAGAACATACGTACATAATGTATTCATAACGAACCCAGTATATGAGATTCTTCTCAGATTACTTTGCACAAGACTGATTCAAGAATTCGATACGGGAATTCAAGAGACTGAAGTATAATCAACGATTGTGTTCCAAAGTTGTTAAAGCCTAATGCTAACATAATCATGGAATATAGTGCCTTCTCTATTATTATTTATCGATTTAAAAGGGAAAATATATTGATGGTTTATTGAAAGTTGTTGGCAAAAAGAGAAAGGAAGAAAAACATTGCAATGTCCTTATTCGAATATTTAATGAGATTAATCATATGCATATACATATACATATATATATACACACACACATATTTGTAGACACATTATATTTTTTGTTTTTGTAGCTTGTTATTAATTTGTGAATTCTTGAAGAAATTAATTTTATACAATTAACATGACGATAAACGATCTTTTTACAAATTTCGGACTGCATTAAGCTTTAAACACTTTCGAAACAATGAGTATGCATGTTTCTTTTTTTTTTTTTTTTAATTAATTCGTCATAATCATTGTGATTTGACATTTGTATTTTTTCTCATTTTGCAATCGTCTACATAGTAGTAGAGTTTGAAAATCCTCATTGATTTTTATGTTATAATGCGCGCGAAGGAAAAAGAAAGAGAGCATGTATATTATTTTAATGATTTTATTTTCGATTCTTTTTTCTTTTAAGAAAGAGTATCTGTCTTTGGCATTAAATGCTATCTATCTATCTATCTATCTATCTATCTATCTATATATATATATGTATGTATATGTATATGTATATGTATGTATGTATGTATGTATAATCTGAAAAAAAACAAAAAGAGAAAAAAGAATTAGAAAGTTATACACTTTGAATAATTTCATGTTATTGACTGATGATATCGCTGTTAATTTGTTACTAATTATAAGATTACATTATCGTTACTGATCATGGCCCTGGGATACAGCTGCAATATTGCTCAATATTATGCATAATAACATATGATCAATCTACCTCTAAATATTAATCCATAATTACATGGAACGAACTACCTCTTAATGTTAATACATTATTAGATGAAACAAACTACCTCTTTGTACAACGAACGATATTGTTCACTATTAACGTTAAGACTGATAGAGCCGAATCTACGTTATATATTGCCTACTATATTATATTATATTATATATATATTATATTATATTATATATTATATTATATTATATTATATTATATTATATTATATTATATTATATTAACTAAGTATATAGTCAAGTAATAAAATTTAAAAGATATGTTATGATTCACGTGATCTTCTCGAAAAGAAATTTGAGCACTTCTTATTTTTCAATTGTAATTCTTTGTAATTTATATACAAGAAACACACATGTTTTCATAATAATAATGCACTGAAGTATACTGAAATGTTGTAAGGAGCAATTGATGCAATAATCGTTCCGAGCGATCGTGCAAGAGAGTGAAAATGATATATTTTCAAAAAGGGAATATCGTACTTTGTGGAAATAAAATTGCGTGGGTGAGTGAACTTCAATATGTGACGAGTAATATGCTTGAAAATTAGCTAAACTGACAATTACGATTTTATAGTACTCTTGAGAACTTTGTTTTAAACATTTCCAGTTGGGAGAGCAGTTTGAAATTTTTGTCTTTTCCCGCGTTACTTCGCCATTGGTTACTTTTCCGCGGGAAAGTGACCCTGCGCAATGGGATGCGCTTTAGTATCAAAGCCGCTTCCGTAAAACAAACAAGAAATGGTGAAGAACAACACGAACGTTGTACTTTCAGTTGGATATTTCATTCATTATTTTACACTGCTTCCTAGCGTTTTTATCGTCACGAACGAAGAATAACGAAAACTTTCAAACGATCGGTTCATGATTTACTTGACTCATTTTGTTACTACATGTAATAGAACTGTACCTGTACGCTAATCGCGACGCGATTGTAAAATAGAGAAATAACATTTATACAGGGTGTCTCAGTAATCGAGAGAACGATTCTAAGTGTGTAAAAATGAAGTCGAAGGAAAAGAAATGCAGCACAGAATGTTTCTTCGCAGGACACTTCGTTTGTGTGTAGGTTACATTTGAAAATTAATCGAGTGCGCATGCGCGGCTACCATATTGCATAAATAACGTCTCTATTTATTTTGTGAAGAACGAGGCGCCTGAAATGGAGAAATTTTTCTACATTTTTCACTTTCCACTTTTCACGCGTAGAACATCGAGAGTCCTATCGATTATTTGCAACTGTCGATAATCGACGACAGTTGGCCAGGTTCAAGGTACGCTATATAAATGTTCCAATTCGATTTTACTTTATTTCACTCTTTTTTCTGTCGATTTATTTTCTCACACAGGATTTCTGAGATACTCTGTGTAGGAAAAAGAAAGAAAGAAAACCGACTGATTTCAACGTAGATAAATATCGACGCCATGCTTGTAGCGGCAAGAACAAAGAAAGAATTGAAAAGAATAGTAATATATGTATTTAATAGCGAAATAAGATATAACGTGCCTAAACAGGTGAAGGACAATTCAACTGAAGCTGTTGTTCAGACTGATGCATACTTAAAAGACTATGCGATGTGTTCAGAACGAGGAAACAAAGTAAAAGGTGCTCAAAAACGTGTGGACGAATCTTGTAATTCGCATTCTTAAAGCTTATCGAAGGGAAAGAAAATTGTGAGTTTAATTGGTACACAGACAGGATTTTCGACGGTGCCTTCGACGAAATTAGAAAGAAACTGTAGCTTGCACTAATAGCGTATTAAGATTGTACATAATCACGAATTTTGGAAAGCGGAGGACGAAAAGATTGCCTTATTATCAAACGTAAATTTTAGCGCTCGTAAATATTAATTCTTTAAGACTGACTGTAACGAAAATGTATCGCACGCACACGCACGCACACGCACGTACGTGTAAACACATACATACGCGTATACTTACACGTACACGTGAGAACGCACTTTTAATTAATTATTAAGCTTCTAACGTTTGACACTTTCCATCCGTAACATGGGGGTTCGCCAATTCCATTGTATGGATGTATGTTATTAGAATTGTACAAGTTTGTTATGAAATATATTACTGTAAGAAAAAACTCCCGAAAGAAACGAGTTGTTTCTCCTTTGCATGTTGAATAATCTTCTTTTCTCGAACAACCGGGCTTATTTATTGCTATTTGGGATTGTATACTTTTTATTATTATTATGGACAAAAACAATTAGACAACTTATCGTGATTCCCTACTTTACCGACTAAGGAAAGTATTAACAGTAGCGGCAACACTTCCCCGTTTAAATGATTTCGTTTCTCACTTCGTTTAGTCGTCTGGATTATTTCAATCAATATTAGCCGGAACGAATGACCTGTAATGACTAGAGGATCGAGGATCAGGAGATTAACACAAACTGGAGGTATCCTATTAAATTATGAATTCACAGTAAAATCCTTGTTGAATGTGTTAACAATAAATAATCTGAGGTCGCACTGTGCGAATATTTTTTTTTTTTTTTTTCTTGTTTAGAGATCAACGTCGCGACCATTTCCATTTGCCTTTGAGGAGATTTTGCCGGCTCGGTCGTCATCGTGTCAGAAACAGTGCACCAATATCGCCGCAAGGGAAACTTTCAATCAACCAACAAGACAGCCAGCCAGCCAGCCAGCCAGCCCTGAGCTGATGATAAAACAAGCTTTGTATAATAATTAAATGGCAAAACGAAATCTCCAGAGTAAGGCACGCTGTCGATTACAGACAGGGAGGATAGCTTAATTTGATGATAAATCAGTGTTCAGATTTAAACACATCAGCATTTCTCAAAAGTAGTACGTCTGTTACAAAAGATACAATTTCCTACATTTTATATTCCACGCTGATATTATTATTTCGGTCGTAGTCGTCACCCCTCCACGGAAAGAGATGCTTCTCAGAGTTAAAAGACCTAACTTTGGGATTCTCAAATTAATCGGGATACTCTGTGACTAATTGAAGAAGAATCAAGAAAAACGAATGCAGAAAATAATTTGTCGCATCTCGGTCATTTTTTCATTTTGCACGGTAACCAATATACTTTTCAGTTATAATTCATACAATTTATTAGTTTATACCATTCGCTGCTGGAAGAATCAGCAAAGGGAGAGAAAGCTTCACGACACTGGAACACGAAAGAATAGAAAAACTCGGGAATAGACGAGAAGGACCAGGGAGAGACAGCGAGAGACGAGTAGAATCGCGAAAGTGTAGAGAGACTCGAGAAAGGTGAAGAAACTTCATCTTTCATAAAAGGATGCAAAATAAACCGCGGAAAGTATCGTAAACGTCCGAAAGGAGGGCAAGAGAAACCAGAAGAAAGAAAAAAAGAAAGAAAAAAAAAAGAAATTAATGGATAAAAATAGCCAAGGTAAGGAGAAAACACGAAAAGATGGGGTGAGCCGACAGGAAGCGTAACTGCATGATTACACGGGCGTCGTTGGCTAGTGGCTGAAGCAATCAAAAGCCACAGGCTGTCCCGGATTATCCTGGGTCAGTACGCTTGGTTCCGGTCATCCCGCGCTTCACAGTGTGTTCTATACCTTTAATAAGTCTCATTTCAGGCTACGCGCACGGAGAGAATAATTATGGGCTTGCGCAGATCGTTCACCGGGGGTGGGGGTAGGTGGCTAAGGAGAAATAAAGCCTCGAGCCCAGGCGGTGAATGCGGCCACGGATTGCGAAATTTCCCCGGTCCGTTTCGTCCTCGCGGTTAATCGTCGAGGATCTTCATCCGAGCCGACCTGCTCTCTCTCTCTCTCTGTCCTTCCTGCCCGCGGTAAGCCACTTGATCTCGTGCCTCTCGTTCGTCCACGCGGATCAATTAGAAAAAATGATAAACCAGTGACGAATCATAATCCGGAGGTGTGTGCGCGTTCCGAATACCTTTTCTCTGGGACTTGGCGTTTCTTCTCCTTTTTTTTTTCTCTTTCTTTCTTTTTCAGGATACGTTGGAACATCGGCAGCTGCTCGCGACGTTTTCCTGGATGCTGAGGCATGCGCCCTAAAAACTCCGGGATTGATGTATTGCAGAGCGCAGGTACAAATGAGACGAGTTTCGCGTGTGTGCATCGTATCCACGCTCTCCCGTCCGTATCCGCGATACGCGGACCACTCGCATGCCTGAAAAGAATTTCTCTCTCGCTCCATTTCTTCCACGCTCTATCTCTCCATGTCACCTCATGTTGTTCCTTCTTTTTCACCTCTTTTTCATCTCTGCTTTCGTAGATCTGCATTTATTACCTGTTGTGGACAGCGACGCTGAGCCCGAAGCTTACCTTGGAACAGGAAACCAGTACCGCGAAAAACTGGGACTGCCCCGCAGAATGCATCTGCTTATCTCCCAAGCAGGTAATAATAATTACAGAGTGCTTAAAGAACGAAGAAACGAAGGATCATTTCATTGGATCCCTCCCCTTCCGCCCTCTGAAGCATTTGGATGATGGTGTTTCAGAGCGAGGAAATCAAAGTTTAATTAGAAATCAATTAGCAATTAACAGGGATTAACAGGGACTAGGTTTGGTGGGGAGGGGGATTTATCTGCAATTGATTAGGCTCACGTCATTCTATGTGCGGATATCTCGATACAGGATATCTGAAGAATTGGCAGCTAAATTTCAAAGCTGATTGAAATCAATTAGCCTCCTAGAAATCAAGCAAAGTATCACACTACCAGAGAAAATTACAAACTAATGCTTTTTCCTATTCTTCTTCTTCTTAAAAAAAAAAAAATTTCTGTTCTTTTTTTTAATTTTTTTTTTTTTTTTTTGATGAAATGATGAATCGATCAATTTTCACAGGTCCTCTGCAATACAGGTGGGTTAAAAGACATTCCCACCCAGCAGCTGCCGCAAACAGTGGAGGAGCTCTCCCTGACAAAGAACAATTTCCCGATAATAAAAGGCGACGCATTCGCCGGCTTGAGAGTGCTACGAAAGCTGACGATGGATGGTAACAACATCTCGACCATACGGCCGTTCGCGTTCCGCGGCCTGAGCAAGTTACGCGAACTTTCCATACAGCACACACCCCTGCCATTCATCGAGAAGTTCTCGTTCGCAGCCCTGCAAAACGTGTCGGTGCTGCTGCTGGCGAACAACAAAATACGATACATCGAGGGCTACTCGTTCGCCGGGACATCCAACATCCGTCTGATCTTACTGAGCAACAACCCGCTGCTCAGAATCCAGAGCCACGCGTTCTCGGGCCTGACGAATGTCGTTCGCCTGATATTCCCGTCAGGGATAAGAACCATCGAGCCGGACGCGTTCGACGGCCTTCAACACGTCTGGCTACTGAAGTTGACCTACATGGACCTGTCTTCCCTTCAGTCGTACACGTTCCGCGGCTTGTCCTACGTGCAGTCGTTGAACATCCAGGACAGCGACCTGGGCATCGTCGAGAAGAACGCGTTCACCGGGCTCACGCACGTCGATCGGCTGAACATCGTGAACAACAAGATCGACCTGATCGAGAAATTGTTTCTACAGTACGAGAGCAATATAGACACGCTGAGATTCCACGGGAACCACGTGTTGGAGGCACCCCGCCACGTGAAGGACATCAGCCTCGAGGTGAGCTCCATCAGCGCCGTGGATAATCACTTCCCGTGCGACTGCCAGGCTCACAACGTGTTGGACAGCGACTTCGTCAACGGCACCGTGACCGAGTTCCAGAAGAGGAATTATTGCATCTCGCCGATCGAGTACAATGGCAAGCCAATGAATCTCGTGGACTTCGGATTGATCGCCAGGTGCCACGACAACGTCGTGCAAGACAACCTCGGCTCCGGTGTCATTGGAATCCTCACCCTGCCAACCACTCTGTTCTTCGTTCTTCTGTTCTCCATGAATCTGTTCCAGTGAACCTCAACTGGTCTCTGGTTTTCGTAAAATCGTTTTGCGATTATCGTTGAAACAGTTCGAATCATTCATTTTCTATTTCAATGGAGAAGCTTAATGTCACGACATATCATCTGATCTAATTTCACGTCCCTGATGGATTTTCGTAGAAGATTTCGGCAAAGACGAAGGGTAAAGATGTGGTCATCTTTTGAAAATTATTTATCAACAACACACTACAGATATATTTGATATATGATAGTAGTACTCATACTGCCGCTGGTAAATTAACGACATTTCCTCCTTCAATGGTTAGACGAGAATTTTTGAAAGTATACCACATTCTTTTTCTGCAAATTTTTTTCCCACTCGGATGGAAGTTATACACTTGTCTGTTTATGTATGTACAATAGGTCGTCCCATTGTAACACAGATAGCCTGCGAATTCAAATGTTAATTGTCGACGTTATTTCAACGTGTACGCGATAACACCGAGATAACGACTGCACTGATTACAGATCCGATTAGAGGCTTGACCATTGTTGCAGCTCCACTCCGTGAGTTAAGAGAAACTTTTTTCCAACTCGTTCGATTATTATAACTTGTACAATCTTAAGCATGCGACTATGAGCTTTAACCGGCCCATGTAACTGAGCTGGCGAAACCGCATCCATTCTGGATTTATCCCGTAAATTAGAGGTGATTTCTCGAATAAGTGACTCGTTCACATTTATCATATCATATCGTGTTAACCCTTTGTTTTATACAAACTTTCGTTCGAGATTGAAATGTTAGTTAAAATGAAGGAAGTTCTCGAGCAACTCCTCGAAATTTGAATCAGTGTTAATCTTAATTCTCATTATATAATTGTTTATGATATAATAATATTGTACGATTCTTTATTTACATTATTTTTCATGGGAAGTTGTTTCTCTGAGTCTTTCTTGGGTTTCTTGAGATTGATACCAGAATGTGTTAATTATTTAAGAAATTTGATTCATATGCCTCAGTATAGATATCTATTGCTATAATCTTTTAATGTATAATGATTTTGAGTGTATAAAGCAAAGAGTTAACGACCAGAGATGAATAGGTAATTTACGTCGACGATAATGAAAGTATAGGAAATAAGAATATAATAAGGTGAACTTATTATGTAAGAACCCATTTTGGCGTGAGAGTAAAATTTCCGTGATTCGAGGCAAACAGCTTTGTCCTTAGAAGAAGTTTAACTCTCAGTAGAATTTCCAAAATGTTATGAACTTTCCAATGTTTCTTTCTATCATTTTTTGGGACACTACTTTCACTATCGTTGAGTCGGAAAAAATTTGTTAAAAACATATGTATCTCGATTCTCTGAGAGTTAATCTCGACCATTTGAATTTTACATGTGCGTTGTCTTCCTTGGGTAAACAAGTCGTTCCAATTAAAAACTAATAAATTTTGTTAATGTACACTTGAAACTAGCGATGGGAAGTTCTCGAAAAGAATAATATTCTTCAGATTTTCTTTATTTTATTTTATTAGTGTAACAACTCACAGGATTCTCTTTCATTGTCTCATCACTTATTTACAAGCATTTCGCTGCATAAGTTCCAAACTAAAAATTCAAAATCGTGCTTTTTAACTACAAAGGAAAAGGAAAAAGAGAAATGTTTTTTCTCTGATCATTTGTAATGTAAAGTCTGCGTGGCCTTCGGTCAGCATAGTAACCGAGGACCAAACTAGCTTATATTTTTTACCAACATCTACCATATAACGTATAACGAAAAATAACAAGCTCTGTAACATTTATTGTAGTTAGAATGATCTGTCATTTAATAAATGATTAAAAAAAAAAAAAAAACGATGAATAACAATCATTATTGTGCATAGGATACACATAAAAGTACAGGACACAATTGTCAGAGCGTAATTTGAAAATAATAACTCGAATCTAAATATAATACAGACAATTTACTTTATAACAGATTTATTTAACTCGAAACATTTGACGATTCTCTTCTAAATTATAAGTTACTTAGAACATTTCAGTCTGGTACGGACTTCACTTTAGGAGGAACAACTCTTTCTAATTCATCCGTGTATGTATCACGATACACCTCGATTTCCCATGCTAGACGCATTTTCATATTAGACGGCGTTATTCCTAAATCTTCCAAAGTTGGCAAACTTGGGTCTATCTTATCAGTAGCATGGTGCTAAACGAAATTTAACATGTTTTATTAGTTCTAAAATCGACACACAATAACTTACATCAATCTCAAGCTTCTAGGTACTTACCAATTCCATTATTTCCCACAATATATTTACAACAGGATGTATTGGATATACTAATTCGTAGAACGTAGTTTTGAGCCAAAAGTACGGATTATACTTCATGTCGTTTATCTTGTAAGGATTACCGGTGTTCTGCATTTTCAAATCATACATCCACATAACTAACTTATTCAACGTGTATCTCTCTGGCCTGAAACAGATAATGTTTTACGTCTTTGTATATAAATAAAACGAAAGGTTCATCGGTTGTACATCACACGGTACATACCCAACAAATTGATAAGTCTTTCCGGCAGTGTCAGGATTTCTTATTATCTCTACAAGGCCTGATATCACATCGTGAATATACACCGGCTGCTTCTCAGTTTTTTCGCCTTTATGCCACAGTGGTATGCTATTGTAACGAATGGATTTCACATTATTACGATATTGCAATACATGTTACTACATGTCGTACAAACAATTAGGAATAAATTTACTATTCGAAGGTTGCCCTCTGTTTTCTCATATAATGACTGATAAACCCATCCATGCATCCATATATAACTGATGGACGGACTATGGTAGCCTCTGGGAATTCTTCTTTTACCGCAAGTTCTCCGAACCATTTCGATTTCAACAGCTTCGAGCCTCCTTGTATTATCATTGGCTTGAAAAATAGAATAATATCTATTATTAAAAATCATTATTTTAAACGTAATTGATAAAAATAAAAGAACAAAAGTCAGAATCAGGACAAACATTCTGCAAAATGAATTGATAATATGAAGAAGATGAGAGGACTTGAAGTTTAAATTTGAAACAATCCCTACGGCTGAATATTCAGAAGATTCAGGTTTAAATTTATAGTTTTATTATATCAATTCAATTAGCCTACTGTAGGTTTTTCTGCTGCATTTAAAGACGATATGTGAACAAAACGTTCTACGTTGCATTTTTTGGCGAGTCTGGCCAGTGTCCTTGCTCCTTCTACGTGCACGTCATTAAAACTGAAGTTTGACGTTTCGTAGTTTGTACCAATCAGATTAACGACGACATTAGAGTATTTCATGGCTCTGATTATTGACTCTTCATCTCTGAGGTCGAACGGAACATAGTAAACTTGTCCGAGATCACCACCCACTTTCAATTCCCTTATGTGGTATGGATCGCACCTATGCGCTAGAATGAGCTTCAAGGGAATAGACAATCACATAAGTATCATTGGTCTAAACAACCTCAAAGTCAATAGTTTATACTTGCTTGCCTGTGTTCCAATCTTTCCCAATCTAATTGGCAAAGAGCTTCCAACGAAACCACTGCATCCAAATATCGTGCAAACTATGCCATTGAAGGAGCTGCGGCCACCAGTACCTCTTTTCAAACCAGCCGTTGTGGGATTTTTAATGATCCTTGGCTCTGTGGAGTAAGCACAGCTCCGTATCGCAGAACTGATGAAGCCCACATTTTGATTTCCTGTGTTACGCGTTGAATCATTGCAGTGTGAATATAATACAGGATTATTATACGATTATGTAAATATAATATAGCACGTAAATATAATAGAGCATTATTGCATATGTAAATATAATATGCATTGTTACATAAGTGTAACATAGCAGACGATAATACATCTACAATACACATGGATTTTAAATCGATAATTGTGCCGAAACAACTGATGCATCATCAATGTCAAAAATGCCATCGAGATGAAATAATAAACGCGCAAAATCAACGAACTCACTTGTCGCCCAGAAGATCCAAGCCGCCATGTTCATCACTCTTGAGAGCAATGGAGTAGTGTTGGGAAGTTTGTACGTACATGTAGATTTGTAATATCGGTATATAGTCAAAATCCAGAGCACATAGTAGAAACAATCTGTCTTAAAAACTTGGTGTAGTTGGAAATGAAAACATATTGAAATTTCTAAATTCGAACGGGAAGAAGAAATCGTAATCTCTGATCTACTAGATTCGATTTGCAATCCTTATTCTAACCTCAATCGGCAATTGAGGTTAAAGTGATGTATAACGAAACAAAAGAAATGCAATAAATATAAACTTCACAAGATGTGCAACGTGTAAAGATTTTATTGTCTCTTTTTTTTAATATCATCAGCGTCACTGCGTCGTAAAAACATATAATAATAGATCACCCAAGAATAAGTTATCCCTATAGCACAGTATATTGAAGTAAAAGCCAAAGGCAGAAATGGCAGTTTTTCATGAAATATCAACTTGTGTACAACGGTTTCGTATACTGTTAACACCGGCAGATTAATTACGTACAAGTACTCGTAGGAGTACAATAAACCCGTATCAAACTTTCGAGAGAAAGTTAAAAAGGACGCAGTTGTGTGTACAGAAATTAACAAGATTTTTAATGGAGTTAAATTATCTGTATAAAGTAGAGGCAGGAGAGCGGCGTGACCTGCGCTGCTTAAAATTATGTAGATTCTGGCATCATTCTTGTTGGTCGCTGCTAATACACTAGAAAGAATCGTTCAACTTTTTAAACGAAATTAACTGTATTTTATTAGTATTGTTCTGCACTTACCACAGTGGTATAATAGCGGTTAAAATTGCCTTCTCATGTACATGCCAACCAAAAATGAATGAACACAAAGCACAGAGGACTAAGCACCGTACAAATTGTTTTGGGTTTGTGTATTCCTTCTTACATAATAAACAATACAGTGCAGGCTATAATTTATGTAAGTATATTTTTATACATCAGTGATATTATCAATATCAATTGGAAAACTTTTTACTCACCATCATAGTGCAAATAGTTAATAAAAACGTCACAACTGGAGTAGGACTTGGTAAAATTAAGAACGTTTGTTCTTGTACTAACCCACCAGTCATGACTGCTGTTCTCGTACTTTTCAACCATCCTAATTGTTTCAAAATTAAACACATCACTTTATCTGCACCTATATACAATGCCCAAGCATTTGCTGCCCAGTATGCATGCACCAAACCCCTTTTAAATGGAAATAGCCTTGATATTACCTGAGACAATCAATTCATGATTAAATAGCAAAAATTGAATTCATTTCACATTGCATACCTGAGGTAATTGCGAGGCAAATGGACCAAATGAAATTATTAAGGTGGTAATAACTATGCTTCCAAGTGCAAATAAACGTCTGAGAAATGAACCTTCATTTATGCAGTACGATCTGAGTAACCAGACTACAAATACCGGTGCTACATATAAATAAATGTGTTTCAAATTCAGTAGTATGGCAAATAACAGTGTTCCAGACAAGATGGCCACCTGAAAAGGTAAATCTCTGTTTAATTTCCATGTAGAAGCTAGATATGTAATTTCTTACCTACCTGTTTATTTACTTTAGAAACGTTAGCAACAGCAAGTAAAAGAATGCCAAGTAGAAATCCGTTATATTGGAAGTGTATATGATCCACCAGTAGCAATCCAATGTTGCACAAAGAAAAAACTATGAAGATAAAATATTCATCAAACGAAGAGCAAAATACTTTGCCAACTCTGGAATTCAAAATACAAAATGTATTTTAAATATGTATTTGTATTTAAATATGTATATGTAAATGTATTTAAATCTTTTGAGATGAGAAATATCAATGAATTAGAATACACATATTAGAATATTAAAATTATAAATTTACTCTTTAACTCCATAAGCATATATCAAATCCAAAAATATAACAGTGCCTCTTTGGAAAAGGACAGTATTAAAAGACGCGTAATTTAGATTTTCCACTTTCAACATGTCATCATCTACGAATCTTGCAATCTGACTGAGAAAGTATTCAAACCATGCAAAGAATGGTGGGTAATCCAAGGTCCATTGTGACTTGGCATTCACGTACCATTCTTTCAATGGTAAACTGTATGTTATAGCAAGCCAATTGCGGTGTACCTCAAAATCCGTGGAACGACTAAGAATCAAATATTTAAAATTACAATATAATAATAATAATAATGAATAAGAGGTATAATTTGTTTAAACATTAAAGAAGACATACTACGTAGGAATTAAAAGTATTTTGAAGCATGAGACGAGTAGCAGTACGCGAAAAACAATTTTGCTCGCGTGCCATTCTTCCGACGTGGACTTTGCATCTTTTGCTTTTTTCGGCGCAGAAATATTTTTATCATTCGTGATATTCATCGTTGAAAAGTATTTCACGTGGCATTTTTTCCACAGATTCGACAAACATAGCAGTTGTGCAGTGTCGGCAACAGTTATTGTTGACATACACCTCGCCCTCTACATTAGGTTAACTTCTCTTAGGGATTAAATAGGAACAAAAAGAATTTACTAGACCATAGACAATTTTTTTCTACAAAAAATAGTTCCATTGTTATTTAATTTATATAACATCAGCGTATTGTTAAATATCAATTCTCGTTATTTTACAATACAACGTACAATATGGAATAGAGAAATTCGTGAGAAATATTTAAAATGCGGCTTCGCGACGTTTAATCCTTCAAGTGCCAAATTAGACCAAGATAAAACTCGCGCGTCATTTTCAAGTAAAAAAAAAAAAGAAAAAATTCAAAATAATACAATTATGTAGCTACACGAATGAGATTTAGTATAATATAAATTAGATAGAATCTTCGGTCACAACTTTCTGGCAAACGGTATGAAAATTTGGCATTAAAAGGATTGAGAGGATCGTACCTGGGACTCGTGGCGATTCTCTCGCAGTCGAGTAACAGATGTTACCCGCTCTTTTCAACGAGCCAAAAGAACAAACATCGGCGGGATATGTACATCAGTCGGTTGCAGTGATCAAAGACTGCGCCTCTAACAAGCTTTTCGTCGCAAGAATGGAGCTGTTCATGATCGGTGTGCTCACTATATTCCCGGACTTTTTATTCGAGAACGGATAAAAGCTGTCGATATTCATCTGAACAGAACAGCTATTCGATTTGTCGGTAGGCGAGCCGCAATTACCGTTTATGCTCATCTTCAGTTGATTCACGTCGTTACGCAACAATCTGGCGTAAAGCTCGATGTGATTTTGCCCGCCGTTGTGAATTTCCAGTGTCGGTATCCACCGGAAGTAGCACTGACTCCAAAGCTCTAGATTCGCGACATTGTACAATGGTTTTATCACGCGTTTCTCCTTGGAGTCCGCTTCGTGAGAATTGTACAAGGGATTATCGAATAACAGAATATCCTGCTCGTTGAACTGTTCTCTCCAATCCCACACGCTCCGTAGAACAAGAGGTCTGTCCGGATCCTGAGGAATATTCATTCTTGAGGATATATGTTTTATAAGTTTTAGATGTATATGAAAATTAATTAATCTATATCCTGTTCAACGGGTTGAGCCAGGACAAATTCGAGAGAGACGTTAGTAAGTTAGGAAATTTGTCGTCTTCTCCAGACCTCTCGTCGTCTTTTCTTGTTAAGTGAAAAGTTAAGAAATTCGCAAGTGAATTACCGTAGCTGCCGCAACTCGGTCTTTCTCGCAATTGAAAATGAACGTGTCAAAAATGGAAACGTGGGCGGCATCCCACAGTGTTGTCAGGTACGTTTCCGTGAATTCGAATTCTGCGGGGAATTGTTGACTCAATTGCCAAACACAGTCGAGGTATAAAAGTAGTAACGGAGACTATTAACAGAAAAATAATGTAAAAAAGCTAACATTAATATTACACGTAATTAAAATCGAATTAATGTACCTTCTCCGAGGTCCTCTTGCAAATGTGACCTAATCTATCGCAAAATGGATGACCACCGGCGACCCACTCCTTTTGCAAGAGCGACTGGAACCCGTTTATAGTTCGAAAATAGGGGTCGAGTAACAATTGAACTAAGCTCGATACGATGCAACAAAGATCAGTGCCAGCACCTTCTAAAAAATCAATCTTGTTGAAGGACGATGGACGAACGACGGATTAATTATTGCTCCATTACCTTGCAAAATAACAGACAATCCTAAATCAAGATGCTCGTAAGCTTCGACAGCTTTTTGTAAACAATACGACACGTACTTCAACCACTTTGTGTTTTCTACCAACGAGTAAAAATTATTATCTTGCAGCCAGAACTGCCTGATATTCTCTGAAATAAACAACGAGTGAATAGTTGCAACAATTGCCGAATCATTGTATGACTGCGTATACGAACTGCGATACATTGTAAATTACCTGGCGAGCATAGACTGGCAAACTTTGAAAACGCTATTGCTATCAGCTTTACGCTGATGCCTTTATTCAGCTCTAGAACAACCGGCGGCATTTTCTGCGGATGACTTTTACGAACATTCTCGAACATAATATTCTCTTGTATCCTGTTGGTAACCAGCGGCGAAAGTTCGGGCATTTTCACTAATGCTGCGCCACGCGCGTTCGACCAAGACCAAATTGGCGGACGGTTGCCTTGAAAGCGCTTAGCTGCGTCTATTAGCTGACTATCGGTAATGGAAGCCGGTATAATTATATATCGAGACAGACTACAAGAAATGTTTACGTTATTATGAATCGATTGCGCCATGCGGCTACATCCGAGTACTGAGCAGTTCAATGCTTTTTCTTTTTTTTTTTTTTTAATCAGTTGCATTTACCTACGACACAGTTTGAAATCTACGTTAACAGTAGACAGTCTCCAAAATTTTCTGAATTTCTCATTGCGAATAGTGCGTTCTAACTCGTTATGCCAGTCAGAGATGTCCCGAAACAAACGAACAGCTTTATCAAGACTACTATAGTAAGCCTCTCTGAAATCAAACAAAAAGAGGGGATGAATAATCCTGTGCCTTTCAACTATAGTTCGAAAGACACTTGTCTGAAATACTAACTGATAATCGTAACCAAATAATAGGTCGTGCTTGCTGGGGAAAGCATAATGTAACAACGCTTGCAACAGATTTTTCCCATCGCCGATGGGTGAAAATTTGAAAGAGAACGACCACGTTCGCAAATTCTAAAATTCACATCATATTTGTCGATTAAACGAAAGAAACGTAAAAGGGAGTACGTCATTCACAACAATTATCGTACGGAGAGACAATTACTTTACAAATAATAAATATCCCTTTTACTTTAGAGGGCACTATATTTCCAGGTAACAATTTTCTTTTCTTATCTCCTACAGTTACATAAATATCTTCTATGTTTGTTAAACACGTGTCCATGTATCCATAAAGGTGATTTTGTTGACGAGCCACATCCTGCAAATAACATGTCCTAGTTAATCCTTTTCGTAATATTAACAAGAAACTATAATTGTTTCAACACACTTGGACTTAGTAAGCTTCTAAAAAATCGACTTACTTCTCCATTTGTTTCGTCAGTGGTAACAAAAGTGAGTTTGAAATTTGTAACAGATAAGATACCAGATGTTCCTTGATTCAAATCACTAACAGGTGAGAACATGAGAACATTTTGTGCTTTGGTGACAAAGCTTTCACCTGGTAGCAGCTTAATATTGTTCTCAGACAAAGAATTACGTCGACTAGAACCTAATGGCTGCACATAATTAGTTGAACCATTGTTAAATTCGACAGTAACTTAAACAGAAGTAGTTATATCTAAACTAAATATATTGAATTTTATGTAACAAACACGTACTGTAACACGTACTGTTTTTTACTTATACAGAACTGAGAAACGTATACTAAATACTAAATTCTAAAATATTAAATTCATTCAATACATATGACTATCATCTTTCACACTCTCTAACAATGAATTTACTTCTTTGCGTATGTTTCACGCAATAAAGCATTTACAACAAAAATCTCGCACGTTCTTTCTCCTTGTTTTCGCCCGTCGCGAATGAAACATGCATTTGTACTGTGCATTCCCAGTACTTCCAGCAAGATTGAGGTTATGTTCGAATGTTTACATAAAAATGTGCCCGACAATTACCTGCATCTCGTGTTCCTCTAGTTCAACATAACTTATGAAATTATTGCAGCTTTTACTTTCCATCGCAAACGCTTGTACGATTGCCGCTGATTGATGAGAACTAAAACCATAGAAATTAAATTCGTTCGGTACACGATTTCTACTTTTTTCTTTTTTTTTTTATTTTTTTGTATCTATTAGTTTCCTCTTAGTTCCATTCTCGTCTGATCGTGAATTATCATCGTGAACTGGATGCGGGGCATTGTTGCGTCTACGCGGAGAGATTCACTTTTTCCACCCGGGATAGAGTCGTGACATGAACCCCTGTTTCAACCATCCTGAACAGCTCTCTCTCTACGGTTGCTTCTTCGTCGGTCACGTTCGTTCATCGCTATAGCCCTTCAATTCGCGCTCATTAATATGTGTGATTTCGCATCGTGTAACATGGGACTTTCGTTATCTGGCCAACCTTTATTGTAACAAGGCATAGTTCGCGAATTAAATCAGAGCTACGAGAAAATAAAAACAAATGAAAAAAAAAAGAATAAATATTTATTGATTAAGCAACAAGTGTGTCGGTATAAAAATGAAATTACAATTCGTATTTTTTGATTTACTTCCAATTTGACTCACTCCCCCGTAATCGTGTTAATTTTTCAATTCAACTTTAAGTTGATTATTCAACAGTAGTATTTTGTTTTATTATTAGGATTTCTAGCTATTAATTAAATCGAACAACACTCAGATCCAAGCTCTTGCTTCTGTTTTTTAAATGGGATTTGAGAATTTCCAGGAATTTCGGTCTTTGCAGAAGGTTGTAAGCAAGTGACAATAGATTTAGCGCTTTGCTTTCGACGAAGAGGACACCGCTGGAAAACAGATCGTGACCTAATTCGAGAACCGTGCCGAAATCGCATTCGTCGGCCGCAATCGTTGCCAATCGTATCACTTCCTCTAGCTTCGACGTCAACGTCTTTTTTGCTTCCGACGTCGAGGCGGTTTCCAGTTGTTTCAGCAATTTCTGTAGCTCACCTGGAGTGCAATTGATAAATTACTCTGTGAATCATTGTAAATTTATTTGGTCGGTTGTTTGATGGGAACTTACTATCAGTGACAGTCAAATCTCTGTATCCCAATTGAGTTTTCTTGTTATAAGGCACTACAATGCCAGCTCTGTGAAACGTTCTTGTCACAGTTTGCTTCTCCCTGGCTTGCATACTCGCCGTCCGTTTCTCCAAGGTAATTTTCTTACTATTCGCGAAGCTTTTCAACCTTTGGTGCAGCTGTGCTACGCGAATTTTTTCAAACGGAGTAACTAACTTCAACCTCTCCTCAAAATGTACACTATAAAGTACAAAGCAAATGTTACGAGTGTATTCTAATAGAAATTTATTAGCACTCTCGCTACTTACTCGAGCGTACCGAATATATTTTCCGCAACAGGCTCGAATATGCAATTTACGGCTGCTTTGTTTTTTGCTACGAATACAGGCTTCTCAGAAGTATCGTCTCTCCAGTAACCGAAATGCAAACCATTTTTGCTGTTTTCCTTGATAACTGTCTGTTGAAAAAGACATGGCAATTAATGAATAACGTCGCACGATTATAATGTATAATTAAATTAAAGTAATTAAAATTGTAATATAAATTATAATTTCCTTACTTGAAATTCCGGTGGATCATAATAATACCTCCAATGCCTCAATAATGTTTCTTTATTCTCGACCTTGCCATTTATAAATTCCTCTCTGAACACATCATAGGGACCTATTAGTTGCAAATTAAGATCCTTCAACGCATTGAGAGGATCTCCCTTGCAAATGTTCTCGCAGAATTCATAAAGATGAAAGAAATCCTCTGGCATTTCAAGGAGGAACAAATAAGGAATGATTTCTCTAGCAGTTATTGGAAGTATTTTCCCATTTTTCACATCAATACCACCGATTTGTAACAATGACGCAATGGTGACTAAATCCTCTGAATTCTCTACAGATGTATCATGTAAGTTCTCCGACTTAGTAATTTTGCAAGTTGTATTGTCATTCTCCAAAACTTTGCTTTTAATGCAAGTTACAATATTCAAATTACAATGCGACTCAGTCATTTCGTCATTTGTCTTCTGTGTTTTCTTTTGTGGAGAGTCATTCGATCCTTGATCATCGTCTTCCTTCTTTCTTTTCTGGTTCATCGCTTTACGCCTCGGGGCTTTCCCGTTTCTCTGCACATTTTCAATCAAATATTTTATTGAGAGAAAGGGCACCGTTTCATAAAAGAAAGATAGAATGATTTTAGAAAAAATTTTGAAAAATTATTTTAGAAGATTTACATAAAAAGAAAATTTACATAAAAAAATAGTAGTAAAAATTCATACCGTTTCTTTTGTGGGAGGATGCTTGTACTTTTCATGGTGGGCTGCATTTTTCTGATAACACTTGGCCCCATATCGGCAAGGAATTCGCACGTCTTCTCTGTAAGCTCGAAACTCTTCTTCCTTGTCGGACATTTTCCTTTTCCTTTCGATCGAATTTGGCGCGAAAAGGTTAAAATCGCGCATACGCAGATCAAACGTTTACTAGTAAAATCGAAAATTAAAATAAAACTTACATGCGAATGTTTTATCCGCTAGCAGCGAATACCTTTTTACTCAAACATAAAGATACTAATTCGAAAAAAATTTTTGTAAGTTATGTAATTTTTATAGCTTTTTCAATTGACACCTGATACATCAACCGTTGTTCTTGTGTGCAAACATAATTTTCTTCTTTTCACACCTCTCGTACATTTCGAACATTAAACAAATGTCAAACTGAATTACAAAATTAAACGTAATTTATATGTTATGTGATTTATAGATTATACGATTCTCATTCGAACACGTGAAAAACGAAAAGAAAAATTCACGAAAAGGACGTTCGATATGATCAAAATTGTTGCAATTGCTATTACATAGTGAACGCTCGCGCGTGCAATCGTAAATTTGATAGGTTATCTAGAGGGGGGCGCCACACAACATATACGTGGCTCCATCACATGGTCGAAATGTAATCCTCCCCCTCCCCGATGATTTTCCCAAGGGAGAGCGGATAGTTTTCTCCTCCCGGGCAAATTTCCTCCGCGTCCGCCGCGTATCTTGACGATGGAGTTTACAACGCAGTGTCAGCACGTCAAACTCGCGGATATCGTTTAGAATCCCGTCCGGGAAGCAACGAACTTGTTGGACACCTGTTTATTTACTCTCGAGAAGTCGTCGATTGCCAGACAATAAGGATTGCGGGACGTTCGTTTCTCATCCACGGGAAGATGTTCTTTCTTGTATAACGACACTCGATAAGCGATTACGTGGGTCTCATGATGGTACGTAACTCGACGTACGTTTGATTCATCTACGAGGAAAAGCTTTCTTGTTGATCGTTATCGGTAACGTTATATGTTTTTGCATAACAATATCTCCATGAGCATTTGCCTTGTTCAATAACAATTCATCTTATCTGATAATGATGATTCATAACAATTCCATGGTGCATTTTATATTCTAGATGAGGTGACACCTGGTCCTGCCATGCGGAACAGGTCAGTCACTGTTATTTTCGGCTCTCTTGTTCTGTGGGGCTTGATCATATATTTCTTGATCTCCGATCAACCAGTGGATAGGGAACGGGAAACGGTAAGTCAGTCAATCAGCCTTTGGGACTAACAATTGGAACTAAAGGCAGTTTCATTTTCAGACTAGAATATCAAATCAGATTAGCAAACTGGAAAGAAGAATAAAGCAAGAAATAGCATTGAATAAGGAACTCTTTGACAGTATCAGCGAAGTTAAGCAACGTAAGAGTACGTCGATGCTAGTATATCAATGTATACGAATTCTTACAATCGTTTTTTGATGTTTTAATTACTTTCCGTTCGAAACAGGAAAGATAAGTATTGTAAATACGAATACAGATGAGAAACAAGGGAGAGATACGAATCGTGTTGACGAGGACAAGCTTTTCCTTGAAAAGGAGAAAAAGGATGTAGATAATAATATTAATAATAATAATAATATACAGCAGTTGCAAATAGAGCCTGTGTATTCGGTAAATATTGCACTATTTATTCGCAGCAATTTGATCCAAAAAAGTATAATTACATGTGCTTTTGTTTTTGACAGAGCGAAACCTCGTACAATGTTCCTATAAAGGGAAAGTTACCAAACGGATCTCCAATAATAGCAGTTTTGGTGTTTTCTTGCAATCGCATTACCGTACAGAGGTGCCTCGATCAACTGATCAAGTACAGGCCCAGCATAGAGCAATTTCCAATTATCGTTTCAGAAGATTGCCAGCATCGACAAACTGCTGATGTTATCGCTAGATATGGAAATCAAATTATGCATATACAAGTAGTGTTATATTAATTTTTTGGACTAATTTGCTGACAACTTCAAAATCACAATATTGTGAAATATTCTTTTTTTCAGCAACCTGATCAATCAGACATCGAGGTACCTCCGAAAGAAAAGAAATTCAAAGGGTATTTCAAAATCGCGCGTCACTATGGATGGGCTCTTAATTACGTATTCTTTCAACTTAAATATGACACTGTGATAATAGTCGAAGGTAGTTTATGTTTTATCTGTAACTTGTATCTTAATAATGTGGAACGTTAGTTTGTTAAAAATCAATTCTCTGTCCAGATGATTTGGACATAGCCCCAGATTTTTTTGAATATTTTTTGGGCACATATCCTCTATTAGTATCTGATAATTCCCTGTGGTGCGTGTCTGCGTGGAATGACAATGGTAAAGCTGGACTAGTTGACGAAAACGCAGCGGATGTGTTATACCGAACGGATTTTTTCCCTGGATTAGGCTGGATGTTAACGCGTCAATTATGGGCTGAACTCTCGCCGAAATGGCCAAAATCGTAAGTGGAAATTTTATTGCAATGACCCATTTGTGTAAAGTCCACAGAGACTGATCAATCTGTTTTGCTAGATATTGGGACGATTGGATAAGACAACCTGAACAACGTCGAAATAGAGCCTGCATTAGGCCGGAAATATCTAGAACCAGAACTTTTGGCAAAACGGGAGTGAGCAAGTATGTACCTGAATTAATAAAAAGCAAATTACTTAAATTTAATCAATATGTTATTTACAGTGGGATGTTCTATGAAAGGCATTTAAAATATATCAAACTGAACACTGAATTTGTGCATTTCTCGAAAATGAATTTAACTTATTTATTAAAAGTAAGAAAAATTTTTAATAACGTTTAATACCAGTTCTATAGTTACACGATTATAGTTTACAAGATTAAAACTAAATCTCTACCGAAGACTAATGTTTCAGGACAATTATGATATAAATTTCGTGAATGAAGTGTATCAATCGACGGTGGTGAGCTTTTCGGAATTGAAAAGTGGGAAAGTTGTGGCACCTGGCGCCGTACGGATTCCTTATTATTCCAGACAGGCGTATAAAAACACTGCTAAGCAGTTTGGACTAATGGATGATTTCAGGGTAATAATTGTCAGATAATTAAATAGAGATTGTAGTCATATTCACGCGTTGTTGCATTTGATGTTTGTAATTTTACATAGAGTGGTGTACCAAGAACTGGCTATCGTGGTGTAGTCACATTCTTTTACAAGGGAAGACGAGTACATCTAGCGCCCAGTGCAAATTGGAATGGTTATGACACAACATGGAGCTAACAAAAGATTCGACACTACAGATTATTTTTTTTTCTTAGACCTAAACGACTAATTGCTTCCATGATGTTCGTTAAAATCGAATGAATATTTTAACTACGTTGAAGACATACATGACACGAACATTTATTAGTTATAAGTGTTACAAGACAAATTTGCAAATCTTTCGTTGCAAATGCCAACGAGTTCGTCAAGAATAACGGCTGCTTGTAATCTTTCTTGTAGAAAATTCCTCAGTGAAGTTTGGATAAATATTGTTATGTAATAAGAGATTTGCATAGTGCCTCAAAACTTATACCCACCGTTTGTATACAAAGTGCAATGCAGATCATGATATACGAGAAAACTACTTTGAACGTGAACACGCGAGAGTGACGAAGTAGCGTTTCAGAATATCATGACTATGAAATATTGTATACTGAATTGTAAAATGACTGACGAAAAAAGATTTAGATTATTCGTGCAATTTGGTTTTATCGGTATTCCATTCGCTTCCACTTTCTTCTTTTATTTTATTTAATCCAAATATAAATGAAATAATTTATTTAAATAAATTCCAGAATTCCTGGTCCTTGTCAGTTATATTTAAAGTTTCTTAATTCATTCACTGAAATTTCCTACTTCACCGGAAATTTAACGGTTCTTTATTACATAGGTCCGAATTGCACGAATTATCGGAAGTCTCCTTATCATGTACATAATGTTTATATTATATCAGGTGTATATATATATATATATGATTTGAAAAAAATTCAACGTTTCAGCTAAATTCGTTCTTGTTGCTTATTTCTAGAATAGGTAAAGCATTTATTTTCGTGTAATAATCGAGAAGTCAGGAAATGGAAGGTGCGCGATTTCGTTAAATTGTTTCCGATGTTATTTAAAAAGTGAAGCATATACAAGTGTAAGATAAATGAATTTTGTCATTTAGTTTTTCCATAATGTAACAATAAACAAATGTTCCATTAATAATAAAAAGATTATACTCAAACATTGACATCGGCAACACTTACTTCTCATCTTATTGTTGCATATCTTACTGTTTGACAGTTCATAGTTTGTAAAGAAGCATACATTTCTTTATGCATATATCTTCTTTATACTTGTTTATTTATATTCTTATAAAGAACAAATACAAAGCTATTATATAACAATATTTGTTCTCTCAAGCTTGTAGTATAGTTTGACTACAAAACTTGCAATTAGTACTAAATCAAAATTAGAGGCTGAAACCAGATGCACCTTGGTATTTTGGAGGAGGATATGGTGGAGGAACTGGATCAGGCAATCTATCTGTAAATCTTTCTGGTTCTGGCTCTGGTTTTGGTCTTGGTGAATCATGTACTCTAGCCTCGCAAAAATACCCAAATGGTGGTCGTTCCATCTTCAAATTTCTCAACATACAATCGTCAAATGTTTTTCTGGTTTTGCTGCAACTAATAATTGGCAAATTGTTACAGTCAATACACATGTTTCTTTTTCAATTTATCCTGGGATGTTGCACGCAAATTTTTTCAGTCAATAGTTAAGAAATCTTTCAATCATCAACATACTGTCGGTCATCGGTGCCTGTCGCAGATGTGTCTACGACACAATTTACATGTGCTTCGAATTCTTTTCCACAGTGTTTTTTGATCTCCTGAAATCCTTCTTTTGCACACTTGGTTACATCTTTGCCTTCCTTCAGGCATTTGCGGGGATCTTTCAGTTCATATCTACATAGCATGAATTCCTAAAATTAAGATCTTATGAGAATTGATCAACTCATGTGACTCATACATTCACAATAAATGATTTGTCACGCGTGGAACATTGGGAGCAACAATGCTAATTGTCATTAAATCGCATAAGGCTCATTAAAATTATATAACCTTGAAGGTTATATACGATTAACGTCAAGTAAAAAAGAGAGGAACAGAAGACGCGTACATTGTGATACCATTCGCATTTCTTTCCAAGAAAAACAGCAGCGGCAGCAATGTATGGCCAGCTAATGCTCAATTCCTCGGTAGTTAACTCTTCGTCCGAAGGAAGCGCGAAAATTTTCGAGTTAGTCATACTGAATCTCACTGGTAGATTGTAGTGCAATGGTGTGACATCTACGACCGGTTACCATAATGTAACGACCATGGCTCCGTCTGGCGCCCGTCTTAGCAGTGCGCTTTATTCAACATTTGTAAGTTTCAAAGAGTAGTAGTTACTGCTAACAACAATCTTAGGTTAGAAATCCACCTCATCGAATTCCTTGGGCGTTGCCGCTCTACTGATGAGTCTTTTCCTCTCTCGCGTCCTCTAAGTGTCGAGCACTCGCGCTCTTTAGCTGCAGGGTGGACGCTGCTGCTTCATTAATTAATCGAACATAATCTTAAAAACAATAATTAAGTGATTAAGTGATTCATCTTAGACGTAACTTTAGTCTCACTTTATGTTAAAGATACTGTTAAATATTACTACCTAACTTACGTTTCATTAAACAGTAAAACCTATAGTGCTTTCAGTACTTGTGTTATCTATGGCAGTACATTTAAAATCTGAAATTAAGAACGCGTCATTTGAAGGTAGGGAAAAAATGAAAGATTGGAAACGTTGAACATTTAAAACAATTGAATATTTAAAATGTTTGAATATTTAAAACAATTGAATCTTGTTTCAAACTACGATCCACAATGTGAGAAATACGAATTGAGATTTAAGAGAAATAAACCCCCACTCTAAGATGATCCTCGTACTACGTTTCAAAAATCACCGCGCATGCGCAATGATGAAAGAGGAGATATATACGGAATTCGAATTCTGCAATAAGCCTGCAATAAATTGAACTTTTTTTACAATTAAATATAGATTAAAAAATATTACTTTTATTTATAGCATCACATAAATAAATATTATTACAATAAAACATCAATTTTATTACATGCTCGATAAAAGAGAATTCTTACATAATTATGCGTAAAAATAAATGAATAACTATTATAAGAAAATATTTATTAATCTGATTATGCGTATTTTTATTTTAAAGATATTTTTTTCAAAAAAAAAAAAGGCGATAGTGCTGCAATTGATTTTTAACAAAATTATAAAGTTACATATGAGACAAAGTTGAGTACCACTGCAGTGATTGTGCTGTCATGGCGGAGGAATGTTTCTTCGTGTTGTGTTAAAAGCGACATAATGTCTCCTGGATTGCAAACTTTCTGGACAATAAATTTTTGAATCATTGTGCTGAATAATAATCTACAGCCATGAGTGATAAGAGGCAACAGAATTTATCGGTATGTATTTACATAACATAAATTTATTGATGATAATTTTAGGGTATATATTTTTTTTTTAGAATATTTAAATTTAGCATTGGCAAATTGATAAAATATCATAAGAAATAAATTTAAGTCTGATCTTCGTGTGAAGTGTTAAAAGTACTAATTTATTACAGTTAAACTATCAATTTATTTTTGTATAATTTATAAGTATAAGGTAAATATTTTGTTTTACAGAAGGAAGAAATAGCAAAACAGTTTATGCTACCAGAGAGGAAAAGTAAAATTGCTACTTTATTGAAACAGGATGGACAAGCGTATTGCATCTGCAGAAGTTCGGATAGCTCACGTTTTATGATGTAAAATATAAGCATAAGTTTTTCATTGTTTATTGATAAATCAAAAACTGATATTTACATTAATTTCAGAGGATGTGATGCATGTGAAGAATGGTATCACGGTGACTGCATAAATATAACAGAAAAAGATGCTAAGCACATAAAACAGTTTTTTTGTATTGTAAAAACTTCTTATTTTTTGTAAACTTTTTGTACTTAAAAGATCGTATTCTAACTGAATATACTTTCAGCGTTGCAGAGAAGAGGACCCAACTTTGATAACACGTTACAAGCCCCGAAGGGCAGATCAGGAAGATCGTAAGTATAAGAAACACAAGGAAAAGGAAAGAGCACATCGGTATGAATATGATGCACCCTGGGATCCTACGACAGTAAAAAAGTCATTGAAACGTTGCGGAGAATGTACTGGTTGTTTAAGAACAGAAAATTGTGGAAAATGCGACGCATGCAGGTAATCACAGTATGAAAGTAAATTAAAAGCCATCAAACTACCTGTATCTTTTGTTAATTGTTACTTTATCTTTAGACATTTGAAAAAATTTGGACCTTCAGTCAGATTGAAGCTTAGATGTATCCAAAGGACTTGCAGGGTATTGGGTGATCCACTAAAACCATCAAAAAGTTTTAACAAAAGTTCCAAATTTATTAAGAAACGAAAAAGAGACTCCAGTAACGAGAGGAATGAATATTTGGAAGCACCAAGGCATTGTTACGGACCCGCTTGTACAAAACAATCACGAGCAGGCAGTAAATATTGCTCTGACGAGTGCGGCTTGAAACTAGCAACTAACAGAATTTACCAAGTGTTACCTCAACGCATACAAGAATGGTCATTGACGCCGTGTATCGCGGAACAGAACAACCGAAGGCAATTAGAAATGGTCAGGAAGCAACAGCAGGACGTTAGAAGAATACTTCAGGAGTTAGATAAGAGGCACGCAGAACTAGATAGAATTGTCGAACGCGCCAAGCATGCAACAATTGATCCCCAAGCGGAAGTAGACGACAACGACGACACGGAGATGAGCATGTATTGCATTACTTGTGGTCACGAGATTCATTCGAGGACTGCCATCAAGCACATGGAAAAGTGTTTTAACAAGGTACCACTATGATATAAAAAAGATGCAGGACGCCCTAGTAATCATAGTACAATTGACAAGAACATTTGTACAATTTATGATTTCTCAAAATTTATTAAATTTACACATCTAACTTCTGTCTCCTTGGACCTTATAGGGCCTTAAACGTTCGAAAAAATTGTGTTTTATATTTTTATTTTTCCACGTCGTTCAAAATCATCTTGTCAATTATAGTGGTTACAAGCACATCTCGTTTGCAATTCTTTAATATTTGTATAAAGAACTAAATTATACATTCTTGCTTTTCAGTATGAGTCTCAAGCATCCTTTGGCTCAATTTTTAAAACTCGTATCGAAGGACAAGTAATGTTTTGTGACTTTTACAATCCCGCGAATCGAACTTACTGTAAAAGATTGAGGGTCCTTTGCCCTGAACACTGCAAGGACCCAAAAATCAGTGAAACTGAAGTGTGCGGTTGTCCGTTGGTTACAAACGTGTTCGATACAACTGGTGAATTCTGCCGGGCGCCGAAGAAGAGCTGTGTGAAACACTACGTTTGGGAGAAGCTGAGACGAGCGGAAATCGATATGGAAAGGGTGAGACAATGGTTGAAAATAGACGAACTTGTCGAACAGGAGAGGCAAATTCGAGCAAATATGGCTACTAGGGCTGGTGTTTTAGCTCTAATGCTTCATTCTACGTATAACCACGAATTAATGGAACAAATGACGCAAGAACAAAGCAGAGAACAATTACAAGCTATGGAAGAAGAACTGCAACGAAGATACGGCTTGCTCCAAAAAGAACACGCAGCAGAATAATTATTTTCGTCGTTAATGGCGTCTTGTAACTGATGGTATGCTGAATTTTCTAACATATCTCCACGACGTGTTCAATATTGTATTTATATTAATGTGTACTGTACAATGTACAATGAAAAATAGAAGAGTTTTTTAACGGATAAGAGAGTCACAGTTAAGAATGATTTTGTAACAATACGATGATAAATTTGTAAAATAGAAATTACTGTTAAGATATATTATAGAAAAATTCTTTTTGGATGAATTGAATATTACAGTTACTCGACCATTGAGATTTCATTGAAAATAAAATTGTTCATAATGAAAAAGGAAAGGTTACTGGAGCAAAAACGATACCGAGATAGCGGTTTAACGACAACTTTTGCCATAGTAATGTACGATTGACTTTGCTTGATATATAATGAAACCAACGATTTGCTGATTGAGAGAATCAAAGGGCGTTCGTCACAAAAATGAAGCTGCAAAAAAAAAAACATAGCAAAAATTGTCTCTGGTTTGACTTTGTATAATTGTGTATTCCTCTTTATTTATAACGTTCAATTAAACTTTTGTAAATTCAAATTTATAATATAATTTTTCATTATCTATTTTAGTGTTCACAATATATCATTTCACATTATATGATTGCACATGTGAAACAAATCAATAACTCGTTATATGAAACATAATTCCAACGTTTCTAAAATTTACCACACTTTAACTTCAATAAATATATTACTTGCTTAATTTTAACCAGTTAAGTTCCGACTCGTCGCTAGAAAGGATACTCTCTCAAAATACTTCTGAATTACAACAAGTTCCAATCATAACACAGGATATTACATATTCTGGCACAGTATAACTCTTCAGTTTTATTACTGTTGTATATACATATAGATATATATATATATACGTATATATATGTATATAGATATATATATATATACGTATATATATGCATATGTATATATATTCTGAATATCCATAACGGCATACATATTCTGAACACACATAGATACACACACGCACACGCATCACACATATATCTGTATATATGTGTGCGCGCGTATGTATGTATATATGTATATGCATATATACATATACGTATACATGTTATATATATATATTTATACGTACATACACATATACATGTCACACCTTCGTATATTTTCATGCTGCTTAGTATGTTTTTGAGGCAAACTGTGAGAATTAAAACACACGCTCTCTCATTTTCTCTCGGCATCGGCATCTGTATCTGTATCGGCATAACCCATTGACAAATTGGAATAAACCGTAAGATACTCCCGCAAGAACGCTTTGGATGAAACTCACTATAAATAACTAGCTTAATATATTTAGCGTTTTTATCAGGTGATTGCGCTCAATATATTTGCAAAAAACATATCTGCATAACTCCTAGGATCCTTACTCGGAAATGAAGGCTTATTTACCAAAATTTAGTTCTTCTTTGTAATTTCATTTACCACTTTCTTTTTCGTTCTCGGTTTTTATATTTTCATTTTGTTACCTCGTTTAGCAGTAAATT